CATTACATTGTAAGTTAGGCTGAGTTCATAATGTATGGCAGAGAGGGGGGGGGGGGGGACAGGTGAAATCTTTAAATGACAAAATTCCTAAGACCCTCCCTTGAAGTCCCCCCAAAAATAACTATGCTCCTGGACAATCTCTTGTAGCTTCTTCTAAAACTTTCGCATCCCCATCCCCCCCCCAATTCTATGAAAAAAGATTTCAAGCCCCCCCATTTTACTGGTAAAATTTTTTCCGATCCCCCCTAAATTTCACCTGCCCCCACCTCCTGCCATACATTATAAACGCAGCCTTACTTTTYGTCACACAAATCGTTACCAACGTTCTTTTATCCCTACCAACATTCTCCTGACCCTAAGACATCCATTCCTTTTGGTCTAGACCTTTGTTGATTAGAAAATAGATTCAAGAAATTAATACAAAACCCTCCACTTTATTCCCTTGCATGCTAATGAGGTACAAAAACCATTAACTAATTTTTTTCTAATTCATGTCATTTTTGTATTTGTGTTTATTTTTATCATTACATACATAYTGTGTGTGGGTGTGGGCTAGAGTGATGATGGGTGAGTATAGTGTACTGTATTTTTAGTGTGTTCATGTGTGTCTGGCTGGCTGCTGTGTTAGAGGGTAATAGAGCCTAATACGTACTGTATTGTACTGTATAGTGTGTTTGGCTGGCTGACTGCTGTGTTAGAGAGTAGGAGGATGGGTGTCCTAATAGGTACTGTACTGTACTGTATAGTGTGTTTGGCTGGCTGGCTTCTGTGTTAGAGGGTAGGAGGATGGGTGTCCTAATAGGTACTGTACTGTAATGTATAGTGTGTTTGGCTGGCTGGCTGCTGTGTTAGAGGGTAGGAGGTGGGTGTTCTAATAGGTGGGTGTCCTAATAGGTGGGTGTTCTAATAGGTGGGTGTCCTAATAGGTGGGTGTCCTAATAGGTGGGTGTCCTAATAGGTGGGTTAGAGAGGATTTTTGTGATGATGTCTTTCTCTGTTTTCATCAAAGTACACTTACATTAAGCTACTTTTAAAATGCTCCATCGTATTCTTAATTTAACCTCATCAAACACATAAACATTATTGACTCAGTAAACAGAAGAGAAGAAATAGCGTAAGGCAACATCACAGTGAAAAACCCTCTAAACGACGGCCAGCCRGGTGAACAACAAACATCTATGTGAAGAGTACTCTTACGTGCGCTCTTCTGACTCATCAGGAAAGGCAGCTCCCAGGCCCAAATCGGTTGCGCAGTCAAGTGCGGACGGTGATGGTGGTGGAGAAGCTGCTGACGAGGAGGGCGATGGTGGTGACGAAGACTAAAATTAAATTGACTAAAAGTTCAAAAACCAAAGAGAAAAGGACAGAAATGAACATCAAGATGGGACGAAAAACAAGTTCAACAACRGGACTTCATGTTCAGACTACTTTTGACAAATACTGATACGGAAATTTAAAAGAGTTAAGTTTAAGAGTGTCGAGTTATGTGAAACAATAGATATTTGCACGGTTTTGATCATTTGTTTTGGTGATAGGGGAGAAAGTGAGAGAGTTGGAGAGTTAGAGTTATTTCGGTGGAGTAATCCAACCCGTTGTTTGGTTAATTTTACAGGGAATTGAAATATGTGGACAAAAACAAAACGTCTAAAAAGGGCAGTAATTATTCTGTCGCGGAATGAGATGCTTGATTGTTCCTATATGTACAGTATATAGTGTTTTTACAAGCATCGCTACCTCTATAAGTAGGATCATTTCCATTCGTATGTCACTTTCTCGCTACTTCATTTAGTTATCCCAAGCCCTTAACTCTGCAGGCTTTCCTCGCATCCATAGGACCTCTCACTTTTCAGCAATTTAATCTTCCTTTCTTCATTGGCAAGCTTCTTTTTTTGGTAAAATTGAATTGCAAAGCGGAAAAGAAATTTGAAAACAAACTTGCTATACTCACCCACCCAACATGATAATGAACAGCCCTTGAAAAAAAAAAGTTTTAAGTCTTTAAAGTATTTAATATAATATAATTCTATATCATTACGAGTTTCTTAGTAGTATTATAAGTTTACAGTAATCTCAATAAAGTAATCATGATACAAGATTTCAAGTTTTTTATCAATAAATGTAGCAATACCAGATAGTATGAGTGTCATCTGTTTTGTCGGTTACCCCTTGTCAGCCAGAAATATGTAATTTATGTCAGCTAGCCCCATCATAATTCGGGACTGCGTCCCTGCGTGTTAGTGAGGTGGTTTATCAGTATGAGAACGATATCTTTACAGACTGCAGGAGTAAAGCATAACATTTGGCTCGGATTTAACTTAGGCTCTGTAGACCACGAAATCTGGTGTCACGTTGGGGTATTTATTCGAAAGCAATGATCATCCCTCGCGATCCAAAATTGTTTTACCCTCCTAATATATAATTGACTGGCATCCCTTCTAAATTTGCTTCAAGTAACCTAAGTAAACTGTGCCAATTTTTGTGCTTTCTTCCGCTCTGCGACGATCTGTGCATCATTCAGTCACCTCATTATATATATAACTTGGTGTTCGTATCAATTCTTTCATGTTGCGAAACCAACAGAAGAAGTGGTATTAACAAACGATGTCTTATTTCCTTTCTTTGTTAGTATCACCAACATAGACTTGGTCATGTCACTGCCTTTTGACCGCGCTATGCCATTTTATTGTAATCTATTTTCACCATTTTATCGTAAATTGTTGCTGAAAAGCCTTTTTAGGAGCATTCAATAAAGTATGTATGTATTGCCATCTGACGCCACGTCACAGTCTTTTGTCGCCATGTCACAGTCTTTCTTTTTCTTAAGAATACTTTCAGACCTCAAGTTCTGCGTGTTTTATTGTATCATAGGAGGTGGAAGCCCACGTAAACGAGCAGCTAAGTCAGCACCGGGTCAATCCAAAACGCATATGCCAAGTGTTAAAACCGCCCCGGAACCAAAAGAAGAGGTATAGGTCTAGAAGGGTAGTCATTGAAGGAGGGGAATATGGTAAATACTGAAAAAGACAAGTCGGCACTAAYTCATTCCAAGACGGACATACCTCGCTTGGCCCCTCATGATGCCTATGTAAAACCCGGGCTAATTGTCCGTCCCCACCCATCCTACTTTACCCAACGTTATTACCCTTCTCCCCTGAATTCTTCACGCTAACATCCATCCCTTCGTCTTCTTTGTTGTGAAGCACTTTTAACAAGAGCCCCAGGGCCCAGTTGCATAAAGTTTTCTTAAGATGAAAAAGCTTAAAAACACTCGTAAGTATTGTCTTAGTACAATGGCCTATTGTTTTGGAACAATACTTACGGATGCTCTTATCTTAAGAGAGCTTTATGCAACCGGGCCCAGACTCGGAAGATTGGGCTAGCCTACCACTCCCTGTGTTATTAACGTTAAATAAATTATAGTTTGCCTTATCCGCATTCCCTTTCCTCCAGTTCTAGTTCATTTTCTCTTGGTTTCCTTGTATCCTGATGTACAAGAAATATTTTATTATGAATCAAGATCGCTGTTTGTTTTTGTACTTAGATGTCAAACACTACTATTCATTCTGCAATACAAAGCACTCGTAAGTCATCAGTCTTACGAGCAGCATCGGCCCTAGGAATCATAAATGAAAGACCCAAGTCCATAGTTTATAGCCCTAAACGAGCTTGGGTACCACAGCCAACCACGGTAAGACTTCAATCCTCTTCAATATTGATGCAATGTTGTTTTTTTAATATGATAGTCAGGGGCGGATCCAGGGGAGGGGTGCAGGGGGTGCGCACCCCTCCCTGGTTCCACTTTGTGCCCCTACTTCGAAGATAACCAAAACTGTTTTTTCCCTTTGATTCTAAGGGGTGCACCCCTCAGAGGGTTAACATTGTGTGCGGCACCTCACCCCTTCCTAAACAAAATCCCGGATCCTCCCCTGATAATACTAATAAGGGCAAATAATTCCTTTTAACCTAGTTTCTCAAGAATTTTCTCTGCCTTGTTTTTCCTACCAGGAGGAATTACTTCGTGCTAAAGAAATCCAAAGAGTTCGTTTTGGCACAGACATCGACTTCCCAGATTATAAACCACCGTTCCGGAAACACATCATTACCAAGTCAGAGATTGTTGCAGCCGAGGATAATTAGATAGAGAGTTACATTGATGAAATCTCACTTGTAAAAAATATGCCAAGGATGATAGCGTTCGGCACACAGACTATTTCCCATTACTCATCCATCTACATCTGAGGAAGGTTCTAGGGATCATCGCTTACGGGTCCTCTCAAATACTAGTGAATGAGAGGTTAAGTAAGGCGGTCCCGCGATTGTAAAATTCGGTGTGGATATAGGAGCAAAGCCAGCAACACTTAAATACTATATATAATTTTATTATTATGATTATTTCTTTATATTGATTCAATACCCGAGACATTATTTTTCATTGGAAAAATATTATTTCTAACTTTTTATCTCGATGACTTTCGTTTTGCATTGGAGCATTTTAAGAATCGAAGGCTATAGCTAAAGCACTTTAACTTTCTCCAAAAACCAAAGTTTTCTTCGAAGAATTTTTAGCTAACTGCGCTCAGCTGCACTCTACTATATAGAAAAATATTAGTAATATGAATAGATTTCTAAGAAGCATTTCATTTTATTAACGAAAGTTGATTTATTTATACTTATAATTTATATCATATCTATAAAATGATTCATTTTGTCAAGCTTGGAATCAAACGTCGAAGCAAGTCAATATTTTATTAAATATTCTTTCAATTTAAAACTTTCTAGTTTTATTTATTTTATTTTTATTTGCTTTCTTTTCTTTTCGTTTCTTTTCTTTTAGTTTTATTTACTTTCTAGTATTATTTTTTAATTTTTTGTAAATCATAATTATACGCATGCGTATTACGCTCAAAGCCAGACGCGGGTGCGTTTTTTCCCCCGCCAAAATGTCAGTATAACGGAAAGAGAAGTCTTCGAGACTAGAACCCGGTAGAAAAAATTAAAGCAAGACAAGCTGCTAGAAGRATTAAAAGACCTGTGGAATTTGGTTCGGATTTGGCTTAGAATATCAAGAAAAATGCCCCTACGATGCTGCCAAGATATGTGTTTACAAGTGCAAATAGTTTCCTCCTTAATTTCGAGGAGGTTTCAACGTTTTGCGAGGAGTTTCGTCAAAGCATTGTCGTAAGTAAGTCGAAGATAGTAGAGATAACGTAAATAATTTTTTCATGAGTTTGATCCTGGAAAGGCCTCCTGGAAGTTCTTTTTCTCACTTTATCGAAATAAAAGTCTTCAGGAATATCAAATGCTCAATTCTTTTGACGATATAAATATCAAATTTTAAACTCTATTTGCTGGCGTAGTTTTACTTTTCGAACCAGGTTAATTTTTGTTACCGCTAGGGCACTAAAAAGCATGTGTAGATATACTTTGCGAAAATCTTTGGGATGTGTGTTCTTTTGTTTGTTTGTTTGTATTGATGTTATTGTTTGTGTTGACAAAACCTTTTATATCAAATGTACGATTAGCCCACAGGCAGCCCACCATATTTTTCTCTATCAATAATGATAAGCGTTGAAATTCCATCGACACAAAAAGCAAGCCAAGAATCGATACACTATAGAATTTTTTAATTAAACATTTAGAGAAAGCTGGAACAAAGCTTGGGCTACCTGTGATGCAGTCATGAGTGACAAATGATTGGCGTTTTCTCTGCGTGACGTATCTTTTCCACGCCCATATTAAATGTCTTGGTTGCCATGAGTGGTTAGCGTTGTCTTCCGATCGCTTTTTGTGTCCATTCAATGGCTTCTATCGCGGTGATAATTTGATTACAAGTGAGAAAGAAACAAAGCACATCACAGCACATTTTAAGGCAAGATCTTCTGATTGCTTTTTGTGTCCATTCGATGGCTTCTATCGCGGTGATAATTTGATTACAAGTGAGAAAGAAACAAAGCACATCACATCACATTTTAAGGTAAGAAATACTGTAAACTAAAGCAGCCTTTTCATTAGTTATAGGCAACTTAACTACGGTACACATTTATAACTCTGTGCTTGAACTATACTTAGCGATCGGCTTGACTTCCGTGTAAAAGACTAGTTACTTTTTACTTGGACTAGTTAGCAAACAATCCATCGATACTATGYTGGAAAAAGCACCTCAAAATTAGTATTAAGTTTACCAAGTTTGAGAGTGATATGAAAAAAATATCAAGTAATTTCGATTTATACCTTCATAGCCTACTGATTACATGATATTCAAATCAATCATTAATCAGAATTTAAAGTTATTGATAACTTCGGCATAGNTTTTTATAGAAATACTACTACTAAAAAATCATAGTAAGTTGTTTTCATTATTTATAAACCCCTAACTAGTAATCTTTAATACGTACGCCAAAACGACATAAATATTCAGTGAATATTTATTTGTCGTTTTGGCGTACGTATAAAAGATTACTAGTTAGGGGTTTATACCTAATGAAAACAACTTACTATGATTACAAAATCTTTTGAAGTCTCGGCTAAAACAATTTTACTAAAAAATCAAGTTCGCTTCATAGTCTAGCTAGCGTGACAATAGATTTTATGACGTTTTTGGCCGCCATTTTGACGAGTAGGGAAAAGACTAGAAGGCGCGGTTACCAAGTCCCATACATTCTTTGTAAATTTTTATCGAGTGACGGCGAAACAGTGTTAAAAACTATCAGTTCTTGCTTTTCTCTTTATTGTGGGCAAAAATACTCTCGATTTTTCAAGGTAAGGACACGTTTTAATCGTAGCAGGAGAGCCAAGCTCATGGGATCAATATTTTCATCGATTCGAGCCGATTCTTGTGAATCGTCTGGCACCGAGTCCACGTGGGTGGATGCGTGCAAATCAAAACACACACGAATAATAACAATAGACTTTATTCTCTCTCTAAATATGTATGTAGTCGGCTGTCAAAGTATGGGATCAGTGACCCAAGATTGTCTGCTGGTAAGATGCCATGACGAAATGGCCATCCATGGATCTTGGGAAAAATTTTTCCTACCTGCTTCTCCACAAAGAGTTTGATGCCACCTATGGTTTACTCTATCAACTTAATTATTACATTATCACTCGATAAAAATTTACAAAGAATGTATGGGACTTGGTAACCGCGCCTTCTAGGCTTTTCCCTACTCGTCAAAATGGCGGCCAAAACAGTCATAAAATCTATAGCCGGATTCAGTTTCTCACTGAGAAGAATGCATTTTGATTATGTATATTATATAGAGACCTCGCATGATGAGCTTAGCATGGATCTCGATTTTTAGGGTTTAACTGTTAAGCAGAAAATTAGAAGACAGGTTAAAAAAAAGATGTCCGTTACAGGTAAGAAGTAAATACTATATTCGGTTTTCTCGCTACTGAAAAAAAAATACTAAGATGTTCTTTGCAAATGTTTTGTATTCTCAGGCAACTGAGGTCATAGTGCATCAGGCTTCAGACAACATTTATAAAACATTAAAAACTGTGAAATGAAAAATCGAATGTAACTGCAGAGTAGAGTAATGGCCACCGCTTCTTGTCCAAATGAAGTGCTGCAAGCATCTGAGGGCAAGACTCGTTTTGTTCGACTGGCAAGATTGCTGGTATGTGGAGGAACTACGGTTATGAGAGAGTTGTTTGATTATATCATCCCACCAGGAAACCTTGCGGCAGTATTATCAAGCTCTCCTGTGAAAATGAGACTAACAGACATGAAACGTAAGAGGATATTAACTTCTCCTCAGTGGCAAAAACTGTACCCTCCATCAGGTGCGGGGATCCAATCCACATCCTTCGATATCACCTTGCTTTTTAAACTGTTGAGAGAGAATGCAATATCTGGTTTGTCACCGCCGAGTACGGGATGGGATAAACTACCAAGCATCGGTGACTTAACTTTGCCGGCAGATATGGCGAGAATCAAATACTACCGAAACGGCATCGYTCATGGTGATGAAAAAATGGAACTCAGTGAACAGGATTTCAGGGATTACTGGAACGAGATCAAAGACGCCTTGGTGCGTATTGCTGGGTATTATGCTACAAGTGGATCCTCGAAAGTCAGAGACTGGGAGACGGCTATTGATGGACTACTGACTGATCCCCTGACTGAGGATGACAGAAAGAACGTAGACGAATTGAAATCGTGGTACTTGGATGAAAGAGAGTTGAAAGAAATGGTGGACCATATAAGATTACTACTTGAAAGTTCAAAAAATGACAGAAAAGGTAAGCATTTTCTTGTCGTTGGATCAGGTTCTTTAAAAATCCATTTGGGAAAGCAGAACTACACTTCTTTGACTGGGACTTGGGGTCGTCTTAATGTCGGTTCCATAATATCTGGGGCCCTACGGAGATTACGACCCGAAACTAGTAACAGTTGCAAAGAGGACATTAATTTAAAATATAACTTTGCATAGTCTTATTTTTAATAATTTCTCTCTCATTTTAGTTTTCAGTGCAAAGTTCGTCGCGAGRACAACAACTTTTGGTGCATGGCTTGGGGGAAATATTTACATATTTCATCGTTTGAAAGACCATCCAGACCTCCTCATAGATTACGTTAAGTATATCTTTCCCGCCACTGGTATTTTGGTTTACAGTGTTGCRTTTGGATGCATCAAAATGACTTTCAAAGCCGAGACCTTAGACKCACTCGATGAGTTTTGGAGGAGGTAYGYCCTTTGTTTGTCTTAGGTTTACGAMTTTTTTACGTTCTTGCCRTGACTGATCAATTRTGCTTACATTGAACTATCCTTTATCACAGGTACGAAACTGGTCAACTGAAAGACGATTTCGAGAAAATACTGATAACAGAAGAATTGAAGAATCTGGCGAATGGTGAGCGTATCGAGCTGAGTGTAGACATAAATAAAGAAAAATTAACGGAAATTCGTAAACTCCTAATGGAAGAGGAAGCCAGCAAAACAATAGTGAAATCTTTTTGTCTTCTACCTCTCAAACCATCGCATCAAATCATTAACAGGTTAGATGAAGTATCAGGATTGTTAGAGGTGATAGAACACAATAAAACTAATGAGATCACAACTGCATATCTATCTGGAAAACCTGGCTGTGGGAAAAGTGAAATGGCAAGGCAAGTTGGAATGAAATTCTACACCAGTATTGAAGACCAAACAGAAGTAAAGTTCGTGTTCACCTTCAATGCATCGAGCATTGAAACTCTGATCCATTCATATATTGAATTTACAAGAATATTAGGATGTCCAAAACAATCAATAGCAATGGTCGTAACAGCAAAAGATGCGTGTCTGGAAAAGAAGATAATGCAGTTAAGAGGTCTTGCATCACCCAAACTGGAGAAGTATTCTTCGTGGATGATGATTGTCGATAACGTGACAGACCTGGAGCTGGTTTCCAAATATTTTCCTCACAAGAAAAAGAATACAAGTGGGAACGGTCATGTGCTTGTGGCGACTCAAGATAGTCGAGCCATGACGCTTGATTCCAATTACACTTTCTTTTGTTCAATTAGCCCTGACATGAAAACCGTTGATGCAATAAAAACACTTAAAGAGATATCTACGTTTTCTAAGGAACAAGAGGAAGTATTTGAAGTGGCGAAAGCGCTTGACTGTCAACCATTGTCACTTGCGTGCGCTGCAATTTACATGCGAAATGCCTTCAGAACAAAAGAATCTCCCATAACTTGGACAACGTTTCTCGAGGAGCATACTAAGGCAGCCACAAGAACTGATGTTAAGACCGGCTTAACTTGCCCAGCATCTATGAAGGCAGCCGTTATGATGGCTTTAGAAAAAGAAATCAGCGATAGTATCTTGATGCTCGCGTTCCAGTTCTTGTCTGTAATGGCTCCGGAGCCTATTTCCCTTGAGTACGTCGTTCAGTATGTGAAAGCTTGTAAACCTGATACTAATGATCAAGTAGTGGCTGCCATGGTGCGTTCTTCTTCCCTCGTGCGCATTCCTGCAGACGGTTCAACAGTAAGTGTACATCAAGTCATTCATGACTGTCTACAAACAGTTATGTCACAACACAAAGAAATTAATATTGAGTTGCTAGAGTTGCTGAAAATGTTGAAGGCCTTTCCACTGCTTAGATCTTACAACACTGAAGACATCGAACACATTTTTACAACAAGTTCACTTTTGATTCAYTTCTTGACATTTATAAGAAGACTGGAGCATTTAGTTGAAAGATCTTTGAGTAGTGAAATCTTATTAAAAATACCTTCGGAGGACAAGGACACAGCTAACTCCTTATTCCTAGTCAGTGACATTATTTACACTTATGGTCACTATATTGCCTCTGAAATATGCAAAGAGATATCTGAAACTATCCAGGAAGGCATGTCGGATGAAAATGATCCACGTCTAGCTGAGACCATGAAAAAACTCGGTCTCATCAACCTTAAGACGAAAAAACATCAACAAGGCGAGAAGTATTTGGAAAAGGCATTGGCTATCCAAGAAAAAGCATATGGTCATGATGATTCACATTTAGCTACTANTGCTTACATTGAACTATCCTTTATCACAGGTACGAAACTGGTCAACTGAAAGATGATTTTGAGAAAATATTGATAACAGAAGAATTGAAGAATCTGGCGAATGGTGAGCGTATCGAGCTGAGTGTAGACATAAATAAAGAAAAATTAACGGAAATTCGTAAACTCCTAATGGAAGAGGAAGCCAGCAAAACAATAGTGAAATCTTTTTGTCTTCTACCTCTCAAACCATCGCATCAAATCATTAACAGGTTAGATGAAGTAGAAGGATTGTTAGAGGAGATAGAACTCAAAAAAACTGATGAGATCACAATTGCATATCTATCTGGAAAACCTGGCTGTGGGAAAAGTGAAATGGCAAGGCAAGTTGGAGAAAAATTCTACACCAGTATTGAAGACCAAACAGAAGTAAAGTTCGTGTTCACCTTCAATGCATCGAGCATTGAAACTCTGATCCATTCATATATTGAATTTACAAGAATATTAGGATGTCCAAAACAATCAATAGCAATGGTCGTAACAGCAAAAGATGCGTGTCTGGAAAAGAAGATAATGCAGTTAAGAGGTCTTGCATCACCCAAACTGGAGAAGTATTCTTCGTGGATGATGATTGTCGATAACGTGACAGACCTGGAGCTGGTTTCCAAATATTTTCCTCACAAGAAAAAGAATACAAGTGGGAACGGTCATGTGCTTGTGGCGACTCAAGATAGTCGAGCCATGACGCTTGATTCCAATTACACTTTCTTTTGTTCAATTAGCCCTGACATGAAAACCGTTGATGCAATAAAAACACTTAAAGAGATATCTACGTTTTCTAAGGAACAAGAGGAAGTATTTGAAGTGGCGAAAGCGCTTGACTGTCAACCATTGTCACTTGCGTGCGCTGCAATTTACATGCGAAATGCCTTCAAAAGAGAATCTCCCATAACTTGGACAACGTTTCTCGAGGAGCATACTAAGGCAGCCACAAGAACTGATGTTAAGACCGGCTTAACTTGCCCAGCATCTATGAAGGCAGCCGTTATGATGGCTTTAGAAAAAGAAATCAGCGATAGTATCTTGATGCTCGCGTTCCAGTTCTTGTCTGTAATGGCTCCGGAGCCTATTTCCCTTGAGTACGTCGTCCAGTATGTGAAAACTTGTAAACCTGATACTAATGATCAAGTGGTGGCTGCCAGGGTGCGTTCTTCTTCCCTCGTGCGCATTTCTGCAGAAGGTTCAACAGTAAGTGTACATCAAGTCGTTCATGACTGCCTACAAACAGTTATGTCACAACACAAAGAAATTAATATTGAGTTGCTAGAGTTGCTGAAAATGTTGAAGGCCTTTCCACTGCTTAGATCTTACAACACTGAAGACATCGAACACATTTTTACAACAAGTTCACTTTTGATTCACTTCTTGACATTTATAAGAAGACTGGAGCATTTAGTTGAAAGATCTTTGAGTAGTGAAATCTTATTACAAATACCTTCGGAGGAAAAGGACACAACAAACTCCTTATTCCTAGTCAGTGACATTATTTACACTTATGGACACTATATTGCCTCTGAAATATGCAAAGAGATATCTACAGCTATCCAGGAAGGCATGTCGGATGAAAATGATCCACGTCTAGCTGAGACCATGAAAAAACTCGGTCTCATCAACCTTAAGACGAAAAAACATCAACAAGGCGAGAAGTATTTGGAAAAGGCATTGGCTATCCAAGAAAAAGCATATGGTCATGATGATTCACATTTAGCTACTACGCTGAATGAAATGGGATTCTGTCACCGTCTTCAAAATCAGCATCAAGAAGCCATGAGGTGTTTCGAGAGAGCATTGGCTATCCAAGAGAAGGCGTATAGTCACGATGATCCACGTTTAGCTACTACGCTGAATAAAATGGGATTCTGTCACCTTGGCCTAGTACAGCATCAAGAAGCCATGAGGTGTTGCGAGAGAGCATTGGCTATCCAAGAGAAGGCGTATGGTCACGATGATCCACGTTTAGCTACTACGCTGAATGAAATGGGATTCTGTCACCTTGGCCTAGGACAGCATCAAGAAGCCATGAGGTGTTTCGAGAGAGCATTGGCTATCCAAGAGAAGGCGTATGGTGACGATGATCTACGTTTAGCTACTACGCTAAATGGACTGGGAGTCAGTCACCGTCTTCAAAATCAGCATGAAGAAACCATGAAGTGTTTTGAAAGA